TCTGCATTAGAGTTCTCAGATCTTGGAACTTGACTCACCTCGTAAGTCCCGAACTGGGCGAGGTGCGATTTGACCTTGCTTAGATATTTTTCCATTCGGGGGTCCTTCGCATGGTACTCATCTTTGACATGATTTACAACCAGCTGGGAGTCACTAAAAATTTTAATGTGATTGGCCCCCAGTCATTTGGCAACGCGCAGGCCTGCTAGGAGTGCTTCATACTCGGCCTCATTATTTGACGTCCGAAAGTTGAATCGAAGAGCATACTCGAATCGCTCACCTCCTGGTGCGAGCAAGAGGATTCCTGCCCCGCACCCCCTCTCGTTGGAAGATCCATCAACGTAGATCGTCCACGGGAGGTCGGACTTGGCTGAAGGAGGTGGTGGAGTGAGCTCTGCGATAAAATCGGCCACTGCTTGCCCTTTTAATGCAGTTCTGGGCTCGAATTGGATGTCGTACTCGCTTAATTCCAATGCCCACTTCATCAGACGTCCTGAAGTTTCAGGCTTAAGGAAGATGTTCTTGAGGGGTAAATTTGTAAGTACACTAACAGTGTGCGCCTGAAAGTACGACCTAAGTCTTCGGGCTGAGGTGACTAAAGCGAGGGCCAGCTTCTCCATTTGGGGATATCTGGTCTCAGCCTCGGTCATGGCCTTACTGGTGTAATAAACGGGGTTTTGACTCGCACCCTCCTGCTTGATCAGTGCCGAGCTGACGGCGCTAGCAGATACCGCTAGGTACAAATGGAGTTTTTCCCCTGGTAATGGCTTTGCGAGTAGAGGTGCCGAGTAGAGATAGTCTTTTAACTGCCCTAGCGCTTGCTCACACTCTTCCGTCCATTCAAACGGTCCCTTCTTCCTAAGAACTTTGAAGAACGAAAGACACTTGTCCGTCGATCTTGACACGAACCTATTCAAGGCTGCGATCCTGCCATTGAGGCACTGAAGCTGTTTTAGAGTCTTGGGTGCCTCCATCTCGAGCACGRCCTTTATCTTCTCTGGGTTAGCCTCAATCCCACGGTTATTTACCATAAAACCAAGGAATTTTCCCGAGGAGACTCCGAAGGCGCACTTGGTCGGATTGAGCTTCATTTGGTACTTGCGTAGCACTCTAATGGCTTCGGTCAGATCGGAAAGATGCGACTTTGACTGCTTGCTCTTGACAAGCATGTTGTCCACATACACTTCCATATTCCGACCGATCTGCTTGGCGAACATTTTGTTCACCATCCTTTGGTAGGTCGCACCTGCATTCTTTAGTCCAAAAGGCATCACCTTGTAGCAGTACAGACCTTGGTCTGTTATGAACGCGTTGTGATCTTAGTCTGACAAATGCATTTTAATTTGGTTGTATCCGCGTGCCCGGCTGTTGCATCCACGAGCTGGTCGATCCTTGGAAGGGGGAAACAGTCTTTTGGGCATGCCTTATTTAAATTTGTAAAGTCCACGCACATCNTTGCTCTTGACAAGCATGTTGTCCACATACACTTCCATATTCCGACCGATCTGCTTGGCGAACATTTTGTTCACCATCCTTTGGTAGGTCGCACCTGCATTCTTTAGTCCAAAAGGCATCACCTTGTAGCAGTACAGACCTTGGTCTGTTATGAACGCGTTGTGATCTTAGTCTGACAAATGCATTTTAATTTGGTTGTATCCGCGTGCCCGGCTGTTGCATCCACGAGCTGGTCGATCCTTGGAAGGGGGAAACAGTCTTTTGGGCATGCCTTATTTAAATTTGTAAAGTCCACGCACATCCTCCACTTTCCGTTGGATTTTTTAACTAATACAACGTTAGAGAGCCACTCAGGCTACAGAATTTCTCGTATATATTCAGCTTTTAAGAGTTTGTTTACTTTCTCAACAATTACATCGCTCATCTCTTTATTTACAGGTCTTCTTTTTTGCTTTACAGGTCGGAATGATGGGTCTATGTTGAGGCGATGTACCATGATCTTCGGGTCGATACCAGGCATATCCTCGTGAGACCACGCGAAGACGTCCGAGTTAGACCTGAGGAAGTTGATCAGTTCTTCCCTTTCAGTGGCCCCCAGCTTGGTTTCTATGCTTACTTTTTTTTTCGAGGCTAAGTAAAGGAACAAGCTCGAGCTCTTCTGTTGGCGGGGAGAACTGCTTTTTGCCTTCCTTTGGCAGGTCGGCCTCTGACTCCTGCAACTTTCCACGATTGGTTTGTTCTTCCAGGGCGCATACCGTCGACCCCTTGAGCGCGGATGCATAACACTCCCGTGAGGTTTTTTGCTCACTTCGGACCATGCCCACCCCATTCGAGGTTGAGTACTTCAATACTTGATGCAATGTGGACGGGACGGCCCGGAATGAATGAATGATGGGTCTCCCGAAGATAGCATTGTAGGCCGACTTGCCGTCGATTACCACGAACTCGGCCATATGTGTTACTTGGGTAGCATCTTGTCCGATAGTTACCGGTAGGTCAATGCACCCTTCTGGGGAGACTGATTCTCCAGAGAATCCAACCAAAGGTGTTGGACTCCTCTTCAATTGTGACCTGGTCCATCCCAATGCTAGATATGTTGGGAGG